GGAAGTGTTTGAAATTTTGCATTTGAAGTTCGTAATGGATACTACAGCCTATGACAGAAAATTGTCTGTGCATGATACCTCCCTATATTCGGTATTTTGATGATTTTAGCTACATTATGAACTGATTATTGTAATAGCTTATGACAAAAGTAGCCTATGCAGGTCCACGTCGTCGTACGTAATACACGGCTACTTTCGGTATTTTAAGATTTTAACAGAATTTTTAACGGATTTTATTTTTTTGGAAAATTGACAAATTTGTACCAAATGTTGGAGGGCATTCGGCCGGGCCAAACTTACAGATTGTTTACTTGTTTTTTTTTTTTTTTTTTTTTTTTTTTTTTTTTTTTTTTTTGTCAAAGATAATGTTTTGAGTTATTTACTGAGTAATGTACATAATTTCATACTAACACCCTACTGAGTGGTCAGTGGCAAAATGAAAACTTACCGATTAAGGTAAGGGTTTTCCAATAATGGTGTTATTTTGGTATTCAAGGAAATATTATATACCACAATATCACGCAAATGGTTACCATAAGCACGATTGCAGGTCAAAATAATTTGCGTGAGCAATTTTTGAAGTGACTGTAGATCAGTTCTGGATAATTTCACAAATTCTATTTTTGAAATCTTGAATTGATGTCGGTCTGTTCGTGTAGACCTCATCTTTCACGTGGCCCCAAAAAGAAGAAGTCTAAAAGTGTTAAATCAACTCTGTGGCCAATTGTGATGAAGTCTTCGAGAGATAAAAAGGTTCTGACAATTTTGCAATGAAAGAACAATCGTTTGGTTGCTAATGTAGCACGTAGCACCGTCTGGTTGAAAGTAAACGTTGTCCATGTGCATACTATCCAATTCAGACAATAAATAATCCTAAAAAATCTTAATCCATTCACTGTAAACGGAAGTCCAGTGAACCTGCCGACCCATAAATCCTCAAGCGAGTCATGAAATGGATCTTTTTGTCGTATCGATCGTACTAAGCCAAAATATTTTTCAAAATTATTCTAAATATATTCTATTCTATATATATAGTTTTTGGAAATTCGTATCAAAAAGGTACAAAACTACTAAAATGTCCTAAATATTGAATACTATGTATTGGACAAATGAAATGAGCAAGCGCTAGAGAGAGGATGAGAATCACTGATGCAGTCCACGATACATGTAAAAAAGGGTTTTTGCAAATTCGAACTCAAATTTTACGAAAAGTTCTAAAATGGTACTAAACATCTAAAATAGTACCATTTGGGTGAACAGATAGTGTTGGCAGTTGGAAATTTGTACATATGTAGCCTGGACATATGGAGGTGGTTTTGGAAAGTCCTAAATGATACTAAATTTTCAAATAGGTGAAGCGATAGAAATAAAATTCTGAAATCTGAAATTTATATTACTGATGTTATCTGTGTTTGAGATTTGACTTGGTGGCTTGGAAATTCGTCCTATATTTGTACCAAAAGTACTTAGTAATACTAAATTGGGTATTGGATTAGAGCTGGAATTCCGAAATTTGATATTGAGGTCTCTGTTGGTATATGGAATTTGGCTATGGAGGTGGTTACCAAAATATGTACTATAATTGTACGAAAAGTACTAAATAGCACTAAATTTGGTATTGGGTGAAGAAATAGAGCTGTAATCCAGAAATTTGATATATATGTCACTGTTGCTATCTGAGGTTGGGATTTGAAGGTGGTTTCAAAAATGTGTACTGTAACCGTTCGAAAAGTACTAAGTGGTACTAAATTGGGCATTGGGTGAAGGGTTAGAGCTGGAATTCCCAAATTTGATACTGAGGTCTCTTTTGGTATCATGTATAAATGTCTATGATGGTAAGATGTAGATTTGTGGATTATGGATACGCGTACTAAATTTTATTAAATTTGGTATTGACTGAAGGGAAAGAGCTGAAATTCGGAAATTTGATATAGATGTCAATTTTGGTTTCTAGGGTTTCCGTATGGAAACGTTGAAATAGTTTTAAATAGAACAAGTAAAAAAGATGTATGTTCGGCCAGGCCGAACTTTTAATATCCTCCACCATTTGGTACAAATTTGGCAATTCCAAAAACAAAAATCCGTGAAAAATTCTGTTAAAATCTTAAAAATACCGAATGAATGTACGACGACGTGGACCTGCATAGGCAACTTTTGTCATAAGTTATTACAATATTTAAATGCGAAACTTGAAGAAAAATCTGTTTATTATGTAGCTAAAATCATCAAAATACCGAATATAGGGAGTACCGTTACATGGGGGGCTATACGAAGACGTGGACCTACATGGCTCATTTTTTGACTTAGGATGTAGTATTCATTACGAACTTCAAATACCAAATTTGAAATGATTCCGATAAATAATGTCGCTAAAATCATCAAAATACCGAATATCGGGGGGTACCGTTATATAGGGGCTATACCAAGACGTGAACCTGCATAGAAATTTTTCTGTCTTAGGCTGTAGTATCTATTACGAACTTCAAATGACAAATTTGAAACAATTCCGGTGAAAATTTGACGCTAAAATCATCAAAATACCGAATATCGGGAGGTACCGTTATATGGGGGCTATATGATGACTTGGACTTACATGGCCCATTTATGAACTTAACCTGCCTACTGGAGAAATATACATGTGTGCAAAATTTTAGCCTTCTATCTCAATTTGTTCAAAAGATATCGTGATTACAACAGACAGACAGACAGACGGACAGACAGACAGACACACAGACAGACAGACGGACATGGCTAAATCGTCTTAGAATTTTACGCTGATCAAGAATATATATACTTTGTTGGGTCTGACATGAGTATTTCGAGGAGTTACAAACGGAATGACAAAATTAATATACCCTCCATAGTATGGTGGAGGGTATAAAAATTGGATGTAAGTCCATTGTACAATGGCTTTATTAATATCGGTAAACTTCGAAATTAAAGATGTTTGGTGTAAAAGGTAAACATTTTCATTTTAGTCCTTCCGAAATAATATATAAAATCTTGAAAGTCTGAAATTTTAGTACAATGTATTAAGCCTTGATAAAAAAAAATAGTCTATCTGATCAAATTGTGCATTTTGAGTACTAAACAGGCCAAACACAAACTGATGGAACGAATCTTAAATTTTAATGGTAGACTTTTCGCTGACGAAGTAGCGGGAACTTGCTAGTTTATCATACATTTCGAATTTAGGTCCTAGAAGACATCAATAGTCTAAATCTTCCCTCAACCTCGGAAGCCTCAGATTAGCTAAAATCGGGCAGCATATGTATATTAGGGCTGTACGAAAAGGTGGGCCTATATTGATAATTATTTGTATATAGCCTTTCCACATAATATGAACCAAAAATGACAAAATTTGGCGAAAGGAATGGAAAACAAGGGCAAAACAATGACCTTTGAGTATCAAACGACCAAGACACAATAAATTTACTTTTGCTTAAGAATGCAAAGTGACACCATTCACACTTCTTGATCAATTTCAAGTTTAGCGTAAAGGGTACTATTAAATTATCATTAAATATTTTATTTGATGGGGCTCCCATTGGACATTCATTTAATTATGTGCATAACCGTATCAGAATTGTACTATTTTCCGTACTAGTTATCCCTTTATTAATAAACTATATACTACGTAGACGTGGTCCTGCATAAGTAATTATTTAGCGTAGGCTGTAGTACCCAGAACTTACACCGCAACAGAATGAGCCGGGAATGGGCCAAAATACCGCAGAGCAACAATCGGGCAGTGTGTGACGGTTTCATTGGCCGTTTGAAGGTCATAGTGCGTGCCAAATGTGACCAATTCGAACAAATTCTAAAATTTGATGCTATTTCCCACATTTTTTGCTTTCATTCAATAAAAATAAAAGAAAAAAATGTGAAAATCATGGCGTTTGACTTTGTTGCAGTTTTTTTATCTCACCCTGTATGGGGGCTACACGAAGACGTGGGCCTGTATAGACAATTTTACCTTACAGACTGAAGTGCGCCATACGAAGTTTAAATACGAAACTTGAAGCAATTCCGGTGAATAATGCCCTAAAATCATCGAAATACCGAATATCGGTTGGTATCGTTATATGGAGGCTATATGAAGACGTGAATCTACATACGCAGGCTGTAGTACCCATTACGAACTTCAAATACGAAATTTGAAACAATTCCGGTAAAAAAAGTCGCTAAAATCATCAACATAACGAATTTCGGGGGGGGGGGGGGGGGGGGGGTACCGTTATATGGGGGCTATACAATATCGTGGACCTATATAGACAATTCTCTTGCAGGGGGTAAAGTACTCATAAAGAACTCCTTGTGTAGAAATTCAGACGATTACAGCGAAAAATGTGCCTACAATCATCAAAATACCGAATATTGGGAGGTACCGTTATATGGGGGCTATAAGAAGACATGGAGCTGCATGAGCAATTTTCAGTCAAAGATGGAAATATCTATTGGGAACTTCAAATACGAAATTTGAAACAATTCCGATGAATACTGTCACTAAAATCACCATAATACCGAATATCGGACCGATCGTGGACCGATGTCGCCCATCTTCGAACTTGACCTGGCTACTGACAAAATATTGATCTGTGCAAAATTTTAACTTCCTATCTTAATTTGTTTTGACTCTAGCGTGATTACAGTAGACGGACAGATTTACTACAGATATCAGTGCTAAATTTTTGAGCTAGCACTGATATCAGTGGAGCTCTTTGTAAATAATTCGAAATTATTTATATTGCTTTTTGTGTAATAGTCGTTTTATGTTGGAGAGTCAAATTTCAATCGATAGCTAAAAATGTGTTATTTCCGAAACTATGTTTTTCTGTTTTTGGAAGGATCTCTATTTCCTTTTCACAAATGTTCAGTGTATCATGTAGCCGATCCCACCCGACTCTTATTCTCCTCTTACAGATTTATTTTCTAACCAATTTCCCGCAGCCCGCAGTGACAACTAATAAAATCATTTCCCTTTTCATCACTATTTACAGGATGGCAGTTTCTTTGATGTCGATAATGACGACAATTTACAATTTAAATATCACGATGTGAAAGCAAATCGACAACTGATGATACCAACAATAATGGCAACAAATGCCAGCAATCAGCAGCAGCAACAACTTCCCTACGATGTTGTTCATGACAATGCCACAAATGTGGAAGCTGTTATTCTACAGAATCAAGTGGACACCTTGCATTGGCAATTAAAACAGGTACGTATCGAGACGGATAGGAAAATGATCAAAGTAAAATAATAAACAACGAGAACAAGAACAACAACAACAATAAACAACAGCTACTGTATTGGGCCCAATGGAGCGTTACTGAGATTCTCTCCTCAGAAACGAAAGACTTAAGGCACAAACCTGAAAAAAAAAACACAACTGGGTTGGTGGCGCACTGATGGCGTGTGTATGCCTCCCCTTGGTTGTTTGCCAGCTTGGCATGCCATTAGCCAGCTTTAGAACTTTATTTATGTTAGACTGATACCAGTTTCCATGGATTTTGTATTTGTTTGGTTTGGTTTTGTTTTGCTTTGTTTTTGGTGTCACACATCCATGTTTGTTGCATTGTTTTAATATTTATAATATCGCTGTTGTTATGGTACTTCATAGTACATACATATATATATATATATATATTTTTATTTCTCAAACACGGATATAATTAGTAAGCCAGCTAGTGTATCAACACATTACCTTGTGTGTTTGTGTGGAGTGCGAGATTTTTTTCTCCGTTCTGCTTTTCATGGGTTCTTTTTATTTATTTTTTTATTTTATTTTTTTTTTTTTTTTTGTGAAAGCCAAGTTATGTGTTCTCATATCATGTTCTGCATATTTTTCTCACGACTAATCTGTCATTAATTATGGTTTTGGTTTGTCATGTATGGCGTTTGTTGGTTTCACGGGTATTGTTACATGAAGAATATGGGTTTATTGTGGAGGTTTCAACACTCAACATTGCCAAAGTAATTAATTTTTTTTCAATGTTGCCCCCAGACTTGATTTACTTGAGGGATTATTTTAGTCTTTAGGAATTTACGCAGAATGTGTGTGTTTTTTTTCGGGGTTATATCGTGATTATGCCATATTAATTTCTATGTAGGCTAAAAAAGCTTAATGTTGTCTTTGTTTTTCTAGGTTACGTTAATAGAATAAAACCCAACTCTGACCTTAAGCGGTAACATGGAAATAATTACAATTTCCAATGGCCAGGAAGTCGTTAGAATTTTGTATGAGTAGCTGTTTTATACTCCAATTATCATATAGATATTCAGCACCAATAAGAAGATTAGGCATATATATATGGTTGTATGATGGAGATTTGATAATCTACTAAGACAATTATTTTATCTGCATATGAATGTAGAATTGTAAAATTAGGGTGTCTGGCTGGTTCACAAATGAAATGACGTAAGCCTGAATTTTGAACTTTTTAATTACGGAGAACTGTTGTATCCAAAGTAAAGGTACATTTGTCTGTGAAGCAGCCCAGAAAGAGAAGGTGTATTGAAATCCATACTAACAAGTTAAAAGTATAAAAGCCCCGTTGTTATACCCTCCACCATACACAGTATGGAGGGTATATTAAGTTCGTCATTCCGTTTGTAACTCATCGAAATAATCATTTCAGACCCAACAATTAAATATATTCTTGATCAGCGTAAAATTTTAAGACGATTTAGCCCTGTCCGTCCGTCTGTCCGTCTGCTGTAATCACGCTACAGGCTAAACGAATTAAGATAGAAAGCTAAAATTTTGCCCAGATCTCTCTTTTGTCTGCAGGCAGGTCAAGTTCGAAGATGGGCTATATCGGTCCACGATATCGCATAGCCCCCATATAACGGTACACCCCCCCCCCCCCAATATTCGGTATTTTGATTATTTTAGCCACATTTTCTAATGGAATTGTGTGAAATTCTACAAAAGGGGTTCTTTGTGAACACTTTACCCCCTGACATGGAGTTCTCTATATAGGTCCATGATATCGAAAATCCCCTTATAAAGCGTGATTTTTTTGAGGTTAGGATTTTCATGCATTAGTATTTGACAGATCACGTGGGATTTCAGACATGGTGTCAAAGAGAAAGATGCTCAGTATGCTTTGACATTTCATCATGAATAGACTTACTAACGAGCAACGCTTGCAAATCATTGAATTTTTTTTACCAAAATGTTGGCAGAAAATCCGCTTTTTTATCGACAAATTGTGTTCAGCGATGAGGCTCATTTCTGGTTGAATGGCTACGTAAATAAGCAAAATTGCCGCATTTGGAGTGAAGAGCAACCAGAAGCCGTTCAAGAACTGCCCATGCATCCCGAAAAATGCACTGTTTGGTGTGGTTTGTACGCTGGTGGAATCATTGGACCGTATTTTTCAAAGATGCTGTTGGACGCAACGTTACGGTGAATGGCGATCGCTATCGTTTGATGCTAACAAACTTTTTGTTGCCAAAAATGGAAGAACTGAACTTGGTTGACATGAGGTTTCAACAAGATGGCGCTACATGCCACACAGCTCGCCATTTTGAGGGAAAACTTCGGAGAACAATTCATCTCAAGAAATGGACCGGTAAGTTGGCTACCAAGATCATGCGATTTGACGCCTTTAGACTATTTTTTGTGGGGCTACGTCAAGTCTAAAGTCTACAGAAATAAGCCAGCAACTATTCCAGCTTTGGAAGACAACATTTCCGAAGAAATTCGGGCTATTCCGGCCGAAATGCTCGAAAAAATTGCCCAAAATTGGACTTTCCGAATGGACCACCTAAGACGCAGCCGCGGTCAACATTTAAATGAAATTATCTTCAAAAAGTAAATGTCATGGACCAATCTAACGTTTCAAATAAAGAACCGATGAGATTTTGCAAATTTTATGCGTTTTTTTTTAAAAAAAGTTATCAAGCTCTTAAAAAATCACTCTTTATATCGGTACCCCCCGATATTCGGAATTTTTGATGATTTTAGCCACAGTTTTAAACCGAATTGTTTTAAATTCTATACAAGTAGTTATTTGTGAGTACTTTATACCTAGACATAAATTTTTCTTATAGGTCCACAATATCGTTTATCTCCCCATATATCGGCACCTTCCGAGATTTTAACAGAATTTTTAATGGATTTTTTTTTATTTTTTGAAAATGTCCTAATTCGTTCCAAATGGTGGAGTGTATTCAAAGTTCGGCCCGTCCGAACTTACTGCTTTTTTACTTGTTTGATTATTTAAATTGTTGATCCTCTATGGAGTGGTTCCGAAGGAATGGGCCAATATTGTTATGAGACACTTTTTAGCAGTTTCAAATGTTATAAACCCTCTCTAGCCATATGACTGAGAGTATAAAAATGCTATTTGTTTTAGAATTTGGTAAGTAAGTTTATCTGAAATTGAAACACATACAGCATCGTATAATTTCAGTCCAACATGAAAAATATTACGAAGTTTGAATGCTCTGAAATAGTAGAATATGTTTATACCCTACACCGCCCTGTGGCAGGGGTTTTATGTACTTAAAATGAACAATTTGTTTAGTTTGAAAACATTTTTTAATCAAATCTTCACACATCGTACTACATTTTCAGACTTTTAAGATTTTACACCTTTTTCATGTTTGGGCGTTACATTTATTATACCTATCCTAAACAATCTACATTTCTCTATTCTACACACCAACAGTGATCCTAATTTAATACTTTTCGTACAATTATAGTATGCATTTGCAAAACCATCACCAGACACAAAGGGAGACCTCAATTTGAAATTTCGGGATTCCAGCCCTATCCCGTCATCCAATACCAAATTAATCACTATTCGTACAATCATAGTACATATTTCCAACACCATTTCCATATCTTAATTGTAAATACCAACAGAGACCTCAATATCAAAATTTAAGACTTTGAGGATACCAGCTTTATCATTTGCCCAAAAGCAAATTTAGTACCATTTAGTACTTTTCGTAGATCTTTTTGAACAATTGTAGTACACATTTCTAAAATGTCTCCTTATCTTAACCACAGACACAGACAGACTAACCATGAAATCTATATCAAATTTCGGGATTCCAGCCCTATTACTTCAACAAATATCAAATTTAGTACTTTTCGTGCAATTAATATAAACATTTCCAAAACCACTTACATATCTCAATTCCAGATACCTACAGAGACCTCCATATCGAATTTGAGGATTCCAGCCCATTTACATATCTCAATTCCAGATACCAACAGCGACCTCAATATCGAATTTGAGGATTCCAGCCCATATATACAATAGCAAATATAGTACCAATTTGTGCTGTTCATAAAAATTTAGAACGCATTTCCGAAACCATCTCCATATCTTAAACATAGATACCATGAATTATCTAAATATCAATTTCCAGAATTTTATCTGTGTTCCTTCACCCAATACCTTACCATTAGTACTTTTCGCATAATTATAATACACATTTCCGAAATAACCTCCATAGGCCCAGGCTACACTTAGTAGCGACCAACGCCCAATACCAAATTCTAACAAAAATAGTATTATTTAGCACCTTCGAGCACTTTTAGTACCCATTTCCCTCTATATCACAAAAACCACCACAACAAAGAGCCCGATACAAAATTTCAGCTACATGCGTTCACCCCAAAAAAATCTGTTCCACACTTAGTTCCAAAATTATCTTCACATATCAAACTTACTTTCCACCTTTAATTCTCATACCAAATTTCAATTTGTTAGCTCTATCCCTTCACATAACACCGAATGGTACCGAGTACCAAGTTTAGTACTGGTACTTCTATCTCATTCCAAATTTCATAATTCTAGCTCATTCCGGTTGTTTAATACAAAGGTTTAAATTTTTAGTACATTTTAATAATATTCGTACCATTTTAGTACATCTTTCCAAAAACCCAGCCTTATCACACGCCTATGCACCACGACTGATCCTAATGCAAAATTTTAAGATTCTAGCTTCAGCCGTTTCCGCAACTTAGGTGTTGATTCTTGATCAGTCAGAGAGAACGCTTTTCTACTCCGTATATATAGATTAGCCTCACGAAATCCATTCCATCAAGCGACACTGGGATCTTAGCGTTGACCTTGGTAAAAAGTCACAAAATGCTAAATAACAAAATGTCTGCGTGAAATTATGATCACCTCTTTGAATGATAATACGACTCGGATATGTTTCCCATAAGAGAACAATGAGTTCGTTTCTAGTGTG